GAGCCTCACCTGTATTTAGATGACCCCCTCCCCTACCTACACCAAATTGATAGCACTACGTAGTTACCTGTAGGCCTAGCCTACACGTCTTATATAGCCCACCGGCTGACACAGGACGTTAAACTAGAATAATAATAATAATAATATAGGAAAAAGTTAACTACCGCTTAAACTCACGACCAATGGTTCCGGACTTTATGGAGAAGCTAATTGACGAATACAAAAATGGCAGAATGACCATGTACCAACTCGACTCCAATGCTTCTTTCCTCATGGCAGCAGGAAGTGAAACACTAGCGACAGTTCTCACACATGCAGTCTTCCAGCTTCTAACAAATCCGAGAACTCTGGAGAAGCTTACAGCAGAAATTCGCACTAAATTCACATGCGCAGCAGATATAAATATGTCGAGCGTCAACGGGTGCAAATACCTACTAGGCTGTATCGAAGAGACTATGAGAATTCAAGCGCCTTCTCCCTCCACGCATCCCCGATACACAAATGGTACTGGCGCAGTGATCGGTGGGTTTCAAGTGCCGGGGAATGTAGCAGTCGGAATCCCCATTTACGCGGCGTGCAAAAGTAGCCTCAACTTCTACGATGCAGAGAGCTATGTGCCCGAGAGATGGACAGGGGAAGATCCGCTCTATGATCACGACCTAAGAGAGGCCGCACGAGTGTTTTCACTTGGACCTCGGGACTGTAGGTTGCCTTGTTCAAAATCACCCTCTCCTTCTATTGATCGATGAACATGTACTAAATGTGAACATTACAGGTCTTGGGCAGAGCTTGGCATATGCTGAGCTGAAATTGGTGATTGCGCGATTGGTGTGGCATTTTGACTTGGAAGCACGCTTCGACGCGAACTGGTCAGACCAAAAGGTCTATATGCTCTGGGAGAAGACACCTTTCATGGTAAAGCTGGCGCCGGTACAGGGCAGCTGGGCAACCTGATTTCACCATAATTTATAGAGATTGTTCCGAGATGTATTGTTGCGGATTGCATCTTGGTAGTATACGCTGGGTATTTTTTAGAGAATGGGAAACTGCAACCATAACCGAACGATGTTTGGTTACCGTTCGCTAAGGGTATGTGAGTTGTTCGCTAATTTCTAAAGAATCAGGATAGCCACCAATAATCTTCATCTCTTTATCCCGACTGTACATGGCATCTAGAATAGGTGGTTGGAATACTATTCTAACAGATTGTTTGTCCTGAATTCGAGATGCCAGCTTCTTGCTTCATGCTTAGATTTGCAAATCTCAACGCTGCACACGTGATGCTAGACCTTGGGAGTGACCGAATCGCCCCACGTTTTTTGCCTGCTTGATCGCTCAAAACTGCTTTCTTACGCTCATTAGACGTAGTCATTTGAGAATAGTTTGTATGTAGTAGTTTGATATGCACGGAAATGAATTCTTCTGGATATTACATAGAATGGAGCTGCTCCTATCAAGTCAGACCAATTTCAAGCGAACTAACTAAAAACAGTAATCTCTAGAATTGTGTTAAGCGACAAGATGCATTCACTCCCTAATGAGGTGAGGCGTGGCTGAAGGCTGGTTCGCAAATTATATCTCTTATTTTAATTCAATTTTGTTGCCTTTATTACATCATTGTGGATCTATTGCGCAAAGCGTCACTTTGGTTTTGGAGGGGTGCTCAGCGTATTACCCTTCTCTCACACTAGCTCTCTAGTGCTCTTAGCTTCTTATACACGCCCTCCCAAGCTGTAACAGGAAGGTCGAAATATATCCACCAGTTTCCGGCCGCATCTTTGCCCAGGACACTTCCTGCATTTCTTCCAGGCTATTATGGATGATCAGCACCGAAAAGCAACATATCCTGGTTGATCAACTTACCACGCCGTTCATTTGATGAGTCAGGTGAATATACGACGGTTTTCCCACCCCATTGCTCCTCCTATCATTGGGAAGACCTTGTCGAACAACAGCGGACGAAAAGTCGAGATCGAAGAAACCAAGGCTATTCCTGTAATGCGAGGTCTTAGTTGTGCCTAGGAAGAAGTTGAGGTTGATCAAAACTCACGATTGAGAGAGAACTAGCGGCAAAACATTCCACGGCCCTGCTAGCGGCTGGCGGCCATAGGAGTCCATCAACGTCAACTGTGCTTTCACTTGCTCAGTGGTTCGCTGCTGTTGGATAGCTCGCCGTATACGAAGCGCAATACTGCCCAATGGTATTGTTGCGAGTTCATGGGCTGTCAGGAACGCGAAGGCGGTACTGACAGCATTCCCTATAAAAGTACCTCTTGGAAGTTCCTTTTCCAGAGTTTTTCTTAGGTTCAGCGCAGTCCCGATTGTGACAGGGCGAGAACCAGCCAGGTTTTGTGAAGACAGCACTGTGCGTGCCCACCAGGCTAACAGAACATCCCCATTAGTCACAAATACAGCATCTTCTCCCTTGCACTCTTTCCTCAAATCTGCGAGAGCTTCTCTCCTCATTTCCTGCAAGAATCGATCTGGGATTTGAAGAATTCGAGGCTCAGATTTCGGTTGCAATATAAGGTCAAAAATCATCCTAAGCACGAAGAAAAAAAGCCGAGAGCCAGCCAGCATTTGTGATCTCAGAACGTATCGTTCTCCAGAAACTTCTCCGATCAACGGACTCATAGGATCGTGATCGAAGCCAACGAACTCTGGAATCGCGAGGCCGTTCAGCTCAGCAAGCCATGCATTCATGAATGCCGCTCTTCCTATGCCGTCAAATACACAATGCGGCCAGCTTACAGAAAGAATAGTGGCATCTTGGAAGGACAGAATCTAGACAACAAACCATTTAGAATCAATGTAGGGATGATATGAACGATGCGATACCAAGCAGAAACGTACTTTGAACGATAATGGAGGACAATCGCTGTTGAGCCAATCTGCCAGTTTTCTTGGACGGCCTGAATGGTGCAAAAAAGACTGCATAAGATGCGGATCCTCATGTATCTTTGGTGTGTGACTTGCTCTCGGAAGCCGTGAAGCCTTGGGATGTTCAGCTATGGTCTTCTCGAACTTTTCATGCAACCATAAGAAAGGGGGTCGTTTTTCATCATATTCACAAGGGAGGATGTATTCAAGTTTCTTTTGTTTCTGAAGACGATCAGCAAGATGCAACGGAGAAAAATGAATCCCACTTTGAGAACTTGCATTCTGGCGGATCCTGGCGCCGAGTTTCTTCCAACCGTCTCGCTGCATCAGACGGTGCAACGCCAACCGAAGTCGATCGACGTCGAGCACATCGTCAAAACGATAAGTAGCCTCCATGACGACATGACGGTTGACATACCCATCGTCTAGCGCATGGAATGGGATAACTTGATCTGTTGATGCTCGGGCAGAGAATTCGCCCTTTGATTTCCTAAGTTTGTTGATTATTGTACTTGAGTATCTTGCTTTCGTTGTAGGTAAAGCGTTTGAGAAAGGGTAGAATGATTGGAAACCTTGTAACAGGAGTGGCCGTCTGACCCTGGTTACAATCATAGTAGCATTACACGCAAAGTAGTATGCGCAAGAATCGAGATTGGAAGAAGTAAAGCATTTCGCTGTAGTAGTGAATGTGCAATACGATTCGGGCCGGTTATGAGAGGCGTACGGCCACAATGTGACGCTAACACAAAGACTACGGACTCCGAAGTTGTTAGTCTATCTCCACACCGTGACGGTAGCATGAAGATTACGAACTCCGAAGGCGGTATTCTGATTCTTTCTTGTATTATATTAATTGAGATCCTTACGATTCAGGGCTCTGTGGTTATCGGAAAAAGATCGTACGAACACTGATATGGGGGTATTTGAAAATCCGAGAGTGTTATTCGAGTACGGTGATTCGACGGTGCTTATCACCTATGGACCTAACGATTCACCGGTAGTTTTGCAAACTCTAGCTCCTGCATTAGTCTGTGATGAGTTCACCTTTCATAAATAAATTGATACCATGGACTCGACACGGCAGAACACGACAACCCAGAAATCACGAATAGCTACGGCGTCAAAACTTCCCTACAACACCCTAGAATTGATAAACAATTGCTTACTGAATGCGCTTCCCTGAATATAATGGCATTAGAATCATTCCTTGCCGCCTATCATCTACAACTTAGCCCAGGCATTGGCATCGCGATAGCTGTTATTCTTCTATATTGCGTCCTATCCAGATCGGGACAGCAACCATTTCCAGACATACCCGTTGCCTCGCTCGAAAAAGGCCTCTGGAGATGTCTTCCACGACGATTGAAGCCCCCCGAATTTCTGCGCTACGGAAACTCTCTCATGCAGGAAGGGCGGCGCATGACGACGGGCTGCTTCCAAGTGCATTCGGGAGCAGGCTTCAAAATCGTCGTGCCTAATCGCTTCTCCCACGAACTGCGTAACCACCCTGCCCTCAGTCTTTCCAAGGGCCAGAAGAAAGAATTTCCCACGCAGTACGCGGGCTTTGAAGGCATGCGAGAGGGGCTGAGAGATGATCGATTGATGCTGGATGTCATCAATGCCAAACTCACGCCAAGTTTAGGTCTTTTGACCGGGCTTCTTGTGCATGAGACATCGCGTGCAGTCGAACATACGCTGGGAGAGAAGAGCGGCTGGGAGGGCTTCGAAGTGAAGGATGTCGCGATTGATATCACCGCTCGCGTGTCGGGACATGTTTTTGTCGGAGAACAACTTGCCAGAAACGATAACTGGCTTGCGATATCGAAAGAGTATACGATACGAATATTTGGAAATGGTGTCGTGCTGAACTTTTTCCCACCCTTCCTTCGGGCGTTCATGTACCAGATCCTTCCGCCTTGTCGACAATTGCGAAAGCAGGTTCAGGACGCTCGGAAACTCCTGGAGCCAGAAGCTCAGAAGATAATAAATCAGCGAAAGGAGAGCAAGAACAAGGTGGAGAGTTCAACGGAGAATGCTGCGGGCAATTGCTTTGCCTGGATGCTGGACATAGCCAAAGGTAGGCCATTGGATTTCACCGGCGGACAACTTTTGCTTAGTCTCGCTGCGATGAACACAACAACCGAGGTAATAACTCGTTGCTTACTACAAATTTGCGACACACCGGAAATCTTACAGCCATTGCGCGGTGAGCTCATTGAGGTCTTGACGGGACATGGGTGGACGAGGTCGGCGCTGCAGAAGCTCAGACTAATGGATTCGTTTCTGCGAGAAGTGCTACGTGTCCACCCATTAGCTTCAGGTATGTATTTTTTTTTAAAAAAGGCCCATGCGATGGAGCATACAAGGAAGTTCTCTGCTGAATATTCTCCATAGCACCCATGACACGCTATGTCTCTAAACCCATCATCCTCTCTGACGGAACCACTCTCCCGGCTGGAGGTCTCATCCTAATCTCCGATGACCACACCAGAGGCGCAAGCGCATTCTCTAATCCCGAAACTTTCGATCTTCACCGATTTTATCGTCAAGGTGAACAAACGGGCAAAGAAGGCGGGCTCCATTTTGTCACGACATCGGCGGAGCACCTCCAATTCGGTCATGGCCAACATGCGTGTCCAGGTACGTAGATGCAGGATTCACAACCTCCTACTTTTTTTTATTTTTTTTTCCAACACAGGCATGGGCTCTAATTGATCATACATAGGTCGATTCTTCGTCTCGGATCAGCTAAAGGTTTTGATAGCCTTCTATATTCTCAAGTATGATTTCCGCTATGAGCCAGGAACCAGTCGACTACCTGTGATTGAATACGAGCAGCATTTCATTGCCAATCCAGCGAATAAAATTCAAGCGAAGATAAGACGAGAGGAATTGGACTTTCTGAGCCCAAAGGTTTTGTGAATATTTGCCTGGTAATATCTTAGTGCTGCATAGAGTCTGTATTCTTCACTAGTCGAACCATGTAATGATCTTAGCAAATGCAAGATGGGTAATATGTTTGGGATTGGACGTGCGTGTTTTCGAAACTGAGCAACAGCAGTTAAACTCTACTGAGAATGATTTGGATCAGTTGATGACTAAACTCGTGTTCTCGGCATGTGTGGTTAGAAAGGCAAATAAATAGGAAATATAGGACATTGATTATTCCGTCAAATTTATTCATTGTTTTCTTCGTGTCTATGTAGTAGACTCGGTACTAGAGCTAACATCACTATCCGAGTCTGTGTCGTCGTCATCAGTATTCGAGTCTTGGTTAGCGGCGTCGGGCTGAGCATCTGGGTCGTCTTCAAACTCCTGGCCCATGGTATTCCATTCATGATGTGGGTGCAGCACATGTCTGTTGGCGTAGCACTTGTAGCAAAAATCGAAATCATAGCAATCTTTGCACTTGTAGCGGAAGCCACTGACCTTCTGTGACTAGGCATAAGTATCTTTGTGGAAAGACAAAAATGAAGTTGGCCGGGCGGGAAGCAAATGAGGGAAAAAGAAGAATCAAGATTGGACTTACGTATAGACAACCATCACAGTAACAAAACGGCCATATATCATAGGCTTTCCTTGACTGGTGGGATATTTGATGCCATGCCATGCTGTCGTCGTTGACGTTGTTCTGGGATGTCAACAGGTGCAAGGTCTCTTGCTTGGCACCATGATAGTTGGCCAGCTTGAGGGGCGACGACTGCTTGCCATCAGGCCCAAGGGTGAGGGCGCAGATGTCTGCGCCCTGGTCGATGAGGAAGGCGACAAATTCATGCTTGCGTTGTTCGCGCATGTCCTGATCGGTGAGGTCAGAGAAGCGGTGGTAGGTGCCCCTGGCGGCGTAGTGCAGGGGAGTCCACCCGTCGGTATCGGGTTCATGGAGCAGGCCGTCGGTAGCCTGCAGCACACATTGGAGCAGATCCAAGTTGCCGCTGACGACGGCGAAATGCACCAGGGTGCGGCCGGCGTTGTCACGTGTGTAGAGATTGGCGTTGGCATCACGCAGGGCGGCAAAGTTGGCGGTAGTGGGACCAACAGCGGCGAGATGAATGGGGTAGCGGCCGGCCTGGTCACGCGTGTCCGTGGTTGCGCCGAGACGGAGCAGGAACTGCACGACTGGGGCAGTAGCGTAGTAGCTAGCGGCGGCAAGGGCCGACCCGTAGAGCCCGCCGATGGCGTTCACATCTACCGTAGTAGTGGTCGTGGTGGTGGTGTCGGAAACGAGGCATTGCAGGACGTCAAGAATAGTAGGCTCTGCCTCGTCGCGATGCACACCGGCTGCCAAGGAGCGGCGACAGGCGGCCTGGGCGGGTGAGCCATAGTAGGAGGCGATGAGGTTGACATTGGCGCCAGCGTCGAGCAAGAGGCGGACTTGGGCGGGAGAGCCCTTGGAGCAGGCCAGATGCAGCGGGGCGTCGGTGCTGCGGGCGACGAGGTTGACATCGGCGCCGCGCTTGAGCAGGAAGCGGGCAATGTCGAGCTTGTCCTTGTCAATGGCCTTGTGCAGTGGCGTCCAGCCGGCCGAGTTTGTGGTGTTGACGTTGCTGCCGGCATGGACGAGCAGCTTCACATCGGCCAGCTGGACGGTGGCGCGTTCCACAAGGGCGTTGAGGGCGGTGTCGTTGTCGCGGTCGGCCAGGCCCAGGTCGGGCTGGAACTCGAGCACCATGCGCAGCAGCTGGGTCGTGTAGATGTACAGGAATGGATGGATGCCGCTTGCCGGCTTGATGGTTGGGTCGGCGCCGTGCTCGAGCAGCACGCGGGCCGTATCGCCATGGCCGGCCTTGAGAGCAGCGAGCAGCGGCGTGAAGCCGGCCAGCATGTCGGCTTCGGCATCGACGTCGGCAGGCCGATAGGGCAGATTGATGTCGGCATGGTGCTCGGCCAGCGCCGCCACCACGTCCGTCTGGCCCCATTCGGCCGCGAGGAACAGCGGCGACCGCCCGCCCTCACCCACGACTTCATCCACCGACGCGCCTTGGTCCAGCAACAGCCGCGTCACGGCGCCGCTCTGGTACGCGGCATGCAGCGGCGTCCACACATCGTGGCACACTTCATTCACCACAGCGCCTTTGTCGAGCAGCAGCCGCGCCATGTCGGCGTCATCTGCCAGGCACGCCCCAAACAGCGGCGAGCTCTCGCTGGTACGCAGGTTGACGTCGGCGCCCTGGCCCAGCAGCCACTCCACCATGGCCCGCCCCTCGGCCTGTCCCACGCCCACGGCCGTCTGCAGAGCCGTCGCCGTCTGCTTGTCGTGCTGCTTGTTCACATCCGCCCCGTGCTCCACCAGCAGCTGCATAATGTCCAGACGTTTGGCTTTGACCGCCACATTCAGCGCCGTGCCGCCCGTGCATTCATGGTTGGCGTCGCTCTTGAATAACAGCAGCTCTTTCACGCACCGCCACGCCCCTTCTTGGATAGCCATGTGTAGCGGCGGCCATGTTTCCGCCTCGCGTCTCGTTTCCGTCTGCGCCCCGTGATCGAGGAGCACGCGTACCGTGGCGTGCGCTCCTATGCTACACGCACTGCTGATGGCTATCCCGTCGTCAGCGTTGACCTCGGCCCCCTTCTCCAGCAGCAGTTTGACCATGTCGGCATTTCCCCTCTGTGCCGCCACGTTCAGTACCGAATTGTTATCCGCGTCGCGCGCCTTCACCAGGCTTGCATCGTGCATGGCCACCAGCTTGAACACCTCGACGTGGCCGTTGCGTGCTGCTAAATACAGAGAGCATTGCCCAAACGCCGCTCTCTCGCTGCCACTGATGTCGGCACCCTCGTCCAACAAGGCCTGCACAACCTTGGCATGGCCATTCCATGCCGCTCGCCGCACCACAAAGGCCGGCCATGTGAATGATGGCACTATCATCTTGCCAATCTGTGACACGACTTTCACAAGCACTTCCTCGTCTCCCCCCGAGCACGCTGCTTCGAGCACGTACTCGGCCGTTGCCCTGTCCAGCTCCACCACCGACCCTAACAAGTGAAGTGCCAAGCCGCCATGTTTGTTTCTTGCCGCCTCAGCCACAGCGTACGGAAGCCACAGCTTTTGCTCGGCTGCCGACATGTTGCTGTCTTGTATCCATCGCTCATATACATCCTCAAGGCCCATGGAAGCCACGAGCGGTAGTGGGCAAAGATAGGTGCGATCCACCCGAGAAAACGGATTCGACATGAACCAATGTGCCATCTGCCAACTCCGGGAAGCTGCCTTGCTCTTGAAAAACTCAATCACCTGCCCTATCAAACGACTCTTGTTGGATGCAAGACAGTAATGCCGATCCCAATAGCACACAGCGTAAGTGGCTATGTCAACCCGGGGTCTGACGCATGGTGTTGACAGAATGCCATGCCGAACCTCGCACAGTGTGTTCAAAGTATCACAGGCACCGGTGGTACCAAGGAACCCAAGGCAGTCTTCTGCCATCATTTCGTGTGCAGTCGCTTGGACATGATACCACTCCTCCTTATCACACTGAAGAATCAGATTCTTTAGCTCTGCATGTTGCAAGCGGATCTCCTGCGTATTGGAGAAATCAAAGATTGGGATGCCAATCAGCGCATCCATTGCCCACATACCATCTGCATCTTGAGTCTGTTCGGACATGTCAAGTACTGAGCACAGTTCGCCAATACTAAGAGACCGAAAGGCAAACACGAGCCAGGTAATGGCCCTGAATACCAAACTGCGCTTGGCCTCTGGTATGGCGTCCATGGTCTTCCGGAATAGAATCTCCAAACTCACTTCCGGAAGCCCTTGCAGGGCATTTGTGAGAGCTTCCAAAGATGGACTGTTCTGGATATCATGAAGGAGTAGCCTCGTCAGACCAACATCATTACCGCCTTTCCTCAAAAGATCGTCTCGGTATCTACCGATTGGTAGTGTTGATGTGTATCTGGCATCGAGCTGATGCAACGTGTAGTCAATCTCATCCCTAGCACAGGGATCGACATCTTCCAGTGAGAATTCATCCTCGAGTACAATTGTCGGCGAGCCCTTCAGCCACTCATCGAGCGAGTCCATCGACTTGGTCATGATCAGAAATTTCCATCGCTTCTCACGTGACTCGGACATTTCGGCTGCCAAACGCCAGAACGAGGAAAGCTTGTCCAAGCATTCGTCTACATTGTCAAGCACAAATACCGTTTCTCCACTGCTGTAGAAGTATCGAATCCTGCTCAATAAGACAAGCAAGTCGTTTTCGCTAAGAGTGCGCTGGGCCAGAAAGCGAGACATGTCACTTTGGAAGTTAAAGTCAGATTTGAGAACCGTGTCGAGCCTTACCCACTGTGCAGCAGTGGTCAAAAGGAATGCTCTTGTATCCTTGTAGCGATCATCGCTCTCATCAAATGAGAAGTAGGTCCAAATTCTTTCATCCCTAGAATGCAGCATCATCTCGTCGAAGAGGAATCCAGAAACCCATGGCCTCAGGCTTTGTCCATGGATAATCAAAACATTAGAACTGATACCCTCCCGCCAGCTGATGTATTCTTGGTTGTTGGCCAGAGGGTTTCTCTGATACTGGTTAACAAGGATTGGTCGGACTGGAGGCGCCTGTGCCACGAGGGCATTCATATACGAAGCCTCTTCTGCTCGCTTCACCTCGTCCTGATCTGACCAGTGTTAGTTCAACCACCAGGATAATTCCCCCGCAAAGCCATTTTGATGAACCTTACATAGCTTAGAATGGTATTGAAATATTTCAAAACTTTGTTTCAATTTCAAAATTTGCTCTGCGCAGGCTAAAGCCGCATGGGGCTGGGGAAATTCGCGACCAAATGCAAACCCAGTCCGGAACGTCACATCGAATTCAGTGAAAATCTGGAAAATGCAAAGAGTCAGGTCAAGACCGTTCAATCATGCCTTGTGTCCAGTATCTTACGCATTGCTTGAGGTCCGTGAGGGTAGACAGAATGCTGTGTATCTTTGCGCTAAGAAGAATCTTGGACTCTAGGAAAGCCAGATTGCATTCAATGACGGCCCTTGCTAGGCTTTTGACATGAAGCAGCGGATTTCCCTCGGGTAACTTTGAACCCGAGTACAAAAGCCGTGCAATCTTCTCTTCCATGTCCAAGACACTACGCCATCTGTGTGGGCAGCCGATGAATATCTAAGTCGCGGTAGTTAGCCAAGGACCATAAAATTTACTCGCCACAAAGGGTTGAATACAATCCATTTGGTGGACTCTGCGATGTCGGCATATTCTGGGTCCATGACGGATTGATACAAAGCCTAGAAACAGTCATTTGGCTGACACTTTCGTGTAAAGGGCCTTTGTTACTTGTTTGACAATCGTGCCTCCGATATCATGGCACATGAAGACTATCGGGCGGAATGAATCCTACAAGCAGATTATCAATAAGTGCGCACCTGTATCGCTCGCCCTCCCCTCTTCCCAAAAAAGGTATATACCTTGTCTCTTCCATGCCTTGCCTCTACAACGGCACGCAGCAGCTTTGATGCTTCTTTAGTGATACCCTCTTTCGAGAGCGTCTTAAAAGCATCGTAACCATAGTTCATCAAACGGAAGCCCAGATCGTACTTCCATTCCTCCAGTCCACGGACTGTCTCTCGTTTCGATTCATCCCACGCTTGCCAAGTTGTCTCGCGGTGGCCATGGAGACCGTGGATGGTGACAACGCTTGCTGGGTCAGAACATGTATATGCGCCCATCATGCACCAGCCTCGCAAGATTGACCTACTCAAAATCGTGCAGAAACATGCTGTCGTCCTTGCCCTGAAGCCCATAGTCGCCGCTGCTTCCCTCTATCTCTGCGACGACTGGGTCGATCACATCTGCAACACTGCTCCGCCGCCCGTTGGCATCGGTGCCTGGCGCGGGCTCAACATCTTCAGCAGGAGTCGTGTCGCGCTCGTCGCTTGTTGATGATGATGATGATGTTTCTGAAGAATGGTCATTATCTTCTGATGCGATGCCGGTCATTTTCTTCCCGATCCAAATTCCGCACGCAGAATGGGAGTCGGTCCAACAGGCGTGATTGTGCTGGAAAGGGCAACAGCGATGCATGAAGCGAGGGGCTGATGTGCGCCTCCAGGCTCAGCTTCTGTCACTTGGTAGCGGTCATGCTTGCAGCGTGCAGCACACGGGCGGAGCCTTGTCTACATCCAGTTATGCCCAGGCGGGGGTCGTTGGGGGTGGAAACTCGTCAGCGTGTGATGCCTATTCAGGATACACATGACAGCACCCACACTCTTGGGAAACCGAAATAACTGGTCCTTCAAGAGCCACAGCACTCTTCAGTACTTCGAATTCGACCAACGGATAATACCCGTGCCCTTCGGATTGCGCTACGGGTAGGTACCATGTAGGCAACAACCTTGGACTCGTGATCGATAGAGAAGGTGGTCATGTAAGCGATCAATAATCCAGCATCTACGCCCACTTTGGATACGTAAAGAGGGCATGGAGTCATCATCTAGTGGGTGGTGGCTTTGTAGTGTAGCGGTTATTACTCTGCACCTGCCGGCATCTCTCAACTTGGTTACTGCTGACACCGCAAGCCGTGTGGCTGCTGACACAGCCATCAACGCACCCCACTTTCAATATGATGCATACTCGATACACTGATTCAAGATCTCTGGCCTGCTTTCGATCGGATAAAGCTTGAGTGTTTGGCCCCGAATTTCCACGGGGATCATTACATCATGTAATTGGTACATAGGAGTAGCTGCGGTTATTGGTATTCAATGTAGTTATTCCAGTGCTGTTAATAGTTAACCAGATAAAAACCATGTCACATATGCTTATAGTCGAAACTATAACACAAATGTGCATGATCTTCATTGAAACAAGATACCCAAATCCTCCTACTACTTGATGAACAGGACTGAGAAAACATCGTTTGATATAGCCAACATATCTATGCAACCTTTGAAAACTTCGGCAAAGTCATACCTGGCATTTATGTCGAATCTGTGCATCAAACTATCCTAAATATGCTTTACTGCAGAGTCCAGCACGGTTTGGAAAGTTATGCCTGCGAGACTGCCTAGGTCCACAGATCCAAGTGCGGTGAGATCGTACATCTGCAATTTGTTGGTGGGAGGCAGCTGTGGATCGAAGAGCAGAGGATCATCTTTGGGTCGTCCTCCAAACATCTTTTGAAAGCTCCTCTCCATAGAACTTTTAGCATCGACCTTGGCTTCTATCTTGAAATCGCAGCGAAACGGTTTCTCGTCCTGCCTTTTTAACAGGATTGCCGTACGCATCGTTGACGGTACGCCGGTCTTGGTAGTACTATTCTCGATAAGTGACCAAGATGCGCTGTCCGCGTTCCCATACGTCCTTCCCAAAAGATCAATCGAGCCAATCACTCTTGTCGCATCTGTGGTTTCTCGGGTGACACTGCGTTCCCAGCCCAATTCCGCCCCCAACTCCACACCAACAAGCGGAGGTGCCCCCAAGCTGACGCCCGCCATGGTTGTCTTTCCTTCTGTCTGTGTCGTCTGAACCATAACCATGTTATCGTAGGGTGCGATCTGGAACACTTCGGGCTCAGGGTCACCGGCCTTCTCAGGTGCAAACTGGAGAGTGATGTTCACAGCCAAAATGCGTCTTGCTGTCTTGCGGCTGTCGAACCTGAAGTTGAGAACAATGAGTGTCGCAAATTCGTCGGCGTCGGGGCTCACGAGGCCGTGAATCACGTCCAGACAGGTGCAGCGGATGTCCAGTGCTCCTTTACGCTCGGTAACATTAGTACGTTGGTAAGGCGCCGATGGATCGTTTCTGGTGCGAAATGAGCTGCCTTCGTCGCCGCCAGGATTCAGCATGATGTCAAAAACGTCGTAGTCGTCATCCTCGTACTTCTCTTCTGTTTGCACGGGTTCGCTGTTGGAAACTTCTGCCA